ATGTTTGAAGGTTTCATTCTGTCAAATGAGATTAATTAATGGGAGAAAATGCATGTTCACATAGGCAATATGTAGGAATAGCAATAGGCAACATGTCAATACTCTTCAGCGCCTCATGTGATCCCTTCAGCATGGGGTAGCTTAGTTGTTTCTGCTGCGGTACAGCAAAGACTTCAGAAAACTTGCTGTCTGAAATTATTGCTTCAGTTTGCTCATGCTCACTTGAAGTGCTGTTTCTGTCAAACAGGCTGTCTAGCAAGCATTTTTGGATGCCTTTCAGCAGGCCTTCTAAATGTTACTGCTATACCTACTTGGCTCTAGTGAAAGTAAGGAGGTCTCTGAACTTTCCCACTGTTTTTCTAGTCTTTGCTTAAAAAATAAAAGAACTATAGGGGGCCTTTAAGGAAGTTTGCCACTGAGGAGTTTAACCTGGGGACAGAGCCTAATTTACCACGTGGTATGTCAGAGGTGGCTCTGACCATTCTGCCTTGGACTCACATATGAAATACTTGTACAACCATCCTGATAAAGGCAGACCTACTCCTGCATGCCCTGGTATTTTGACTGTTTTGCAGTGATACCTGCCCTCATGGAGGTGCATCGTGGATCCTACTCTCCTTAGCTGCCTTTTAAAACACCTCTCTGCTGCATGTCAGCAGTGTCTTCCTACATTAGCAGTCATGCAGAACTGGAAGAAATTAAAACCCTTCGCCCACAGGACTCAATCTAAAAGCTTTTAACATGAATGCCACTATGGTCCTGGACTGAGGAAGTAGAGGTAAAGAGGGTGAAGCCCCCATTTGCCCAAATCTATGTGCTGTAATGAAGGAGGCAGCCAGTGTAGGACGAGCTGTTGGCCTGCCTGGGACCTCCATGTTACTCTTCATCCCTTGCTGTCACTGACATAGCTGACCTAGTGCCCTTAGAAGGGAGCGTGCAAAAGCCCTCTGAGATGGGTGTCCCAGGTCCTCTTCCACAGGCAAGTGGAAGAGGCATGAAAGCTGCTTCCAGGATCAGGAAGAAGCCATCCTGCCCTGGACCCTGTGCCAGGTAACAGAGTGGCAGAGGGAAATCCAGTCTCTCACTTGAGCTAGACCTTGTTTGAAAGCAACAGCAGTGTCCTGGATCCCTCCTGTATCTCCTGAGGGCCAGCTGTGGGACGATACAGCACAGTGGGTTAAAGTTTGTGTAGTGCTACTCCAGCCATATATCGGGGCGTGTAGTGGTACACACACAGTGCTGTCTGTGCTCCCAGCATGGCCTTCGCCTGCCGGAGGCTGGACAACAGACATTTCTACCGGCCAGGTGGACTTTTGCTCATCTGAACTCCCCTCTGCTTTGAAGACATGGCTAATCCCCCAGGGGATGACTTACTGCTGCATTCATCAAATGACAGTCATGATAGTGAAGCACTTTAAATGGAGTGAACCAATTGGTGCCGTTTGTGCCTTTCAGAGCTGGTCTTGCCTGCCACTTGTTGCCTCAGTGCAGCAACATGAGTGCGAGAACTGAAGCAGTGCTGCTTACTTGGCCTATAAACTTCATCCCCTTGGAAGTTACTCTGTCACCATGAGGTGACCCATCACTTTAAGGACAAGGCAAGCAAGATGATATATATTCATTTCAGGTACTTATGGCACAAGTTCATAATTTCATAACATTATACTGTCACACTGTCCTGGTGTTTGCTATCTTGCTGGCAGCTATCACAAAATGAGACCAACAGGACTTAAAGAAGCAAGGGAATCCCAAACTTGAGCTCAAAATGGTGATACCAATACTTTGCTTTCCCATTTTCCCTTTTTATTTCCTCTGTACTTTAAAATCAAATGAGTGGAAAGAAAGATATATTTTGTAAATGCACCACCAAAAATCACTGATGTGTGCACCACATTTAGCAGTGGGCATCAGTGTAATGGAAAGTAGTACTAGCAGTGAAGAATAGCGTTGCGTTCAGTCATCACTACAGGAGGAATGCAAGCGGACAGAATGCCTATGCGTCTTCACTCTTGTCAGAAAATGGCTTGCTATGACTGCTTGTGCAGGTCTTTGTATCATTCAAAAGACATTCCTGAAGCAAATGTACTGGCTTGTCCTTTGTAATGCACAGGGGAAACAGGACCATCTAAGGAATTATTCATGCTTTTACCCCTCAAAACTTACCTCTTCTCTCTGAATGTGTACCAGCTTGACTCAGCTAGTTGCTGGTTATATTTGAGAATCTCACTCAACTGCAGAGAGCTGAAGATGGTGTCATGGTTTGAGAGCTCCAAAATCTAATTCCCTAGTCCAAGCCCCCTCCTACATCTCAACCCAGTGTGAGACAGTTTTCCAGACAACCACATGAGACTCAAAATGGGGGAAAGGGAATATATTACAATGACTATACAAATAAGTACTACAGTACATTATATACAATCTTAAGTATTTCTACCATGACGTAAGTATTTACAATGGATCAAATCTCTTCTCCCCTCCAAATAAAAGTCCAGGAGGGAAGAAGGAAAAGATCTTTTCCACTCTCAGAGCAGCAATGTCTCTAGGGCAGCAGGTCTCTCTGTCTCGCTCTTCTTCTCATGCAGCAGCTGTGGCTGGATCTCTGCCAGTACACACGAGGGGTATCCAAGCCCCTCGGCCCATCGTCTAAAGTGAGGGTCTTCTCTTCCATGGGCTGCGTTTCCCAGGACAAGGGCACTATCACCACGTCATATCACGAAGCGCAGGGGTCTTCGTGACGGTCCTTATCTTCAGAAGATTCAAGTTCCCCTTTGCAGAGCTCTGTGCTCTGTCTCAAGCAGTGTGTGTGTGTGTGTGGAGGGGGGCAAGGTCACCCTCTCCGCATTCTGTCTCTGAGCTTTTCATCCCTTTCTGCAGTGCTGTAGCACTCTAAGGCTCTTTTAAGTAAGAGTCCATCTCCTCCTCCTTTTCTAGGAGGGGTCTCCAAAGAGTTTGGGGTTTTAGTTTCAGTTCTTACCCAAACTTTCTCTGTAGAACTCAGTTCTCTCTCTCTGCTGCTGACTCTCATTCTCTTTCTCTCTCTCCTTCCAGGAGTTCTCTCTGTGTTGCTGCCTGCCTGTTGTTGCTGCTTGGTCTTATATCTCCTGGCTCTCTGCCACCGTTTCTTCGGTCAGTGCAGTTCTGCTACCACTTCTCAGTATCTCTTGCTGCGGCTCACAGTGAAGAAACATCTCCTGGCTCAGCTACAGATACTTAGTCCAGTCTTACACTGTTCCAAGTCCCTGCAGCCCCCAGTCGGGGGCTGGGGGGGCCAGAGCCCCCTTCAGGGGGCTCCTGCTGCTTCTCCTCGTGGCTTTCGCAACATGGCTACCTCTTCCAACAACAACTAACCTTCTCTTCCATTCTGCTTGTGATATGTTTATATTTTGCAGAAGCACTCATTGGGTAAAACCTCAAAACTTCAAGGGTCACCACCCCCTGGGGTTTTACCATTTTATGACTGCAGGGGGAAAACTGTTAACAATTGCAGCAGCACTTAAGAACTACTCCTGGGAAAGGATTTAAACTGCTTGGAGTGATGACTGATACAATTTAGCACTTAGCAATGAGAAGGAAAACAGTCATATACAACCAGTTTTCTGAAAAGCAACATCAAGTACTTCAGAGACTTGCCCTGGACCCTAGGGTGTTGCAGGTATATGATTAAATGTCATGGCAAGGAAGAGGTGACTGCCTGAGGTGCTAATTCCTTTGCTGCCGGCTCTGTGTCTCAGATGATAACTTTTGCAAAATGTAATGAAATGTGTAAAGACATTTTGACAGTTATTTTCCCTCTGCTCTGCTGGCTTTGGCTGAGAGCACCACATTAATAACCTTAACTAAAGAGAGGCACGCAGGGATCTTAGCAGAGTTTGAGAGGTGATTGATTGGGTTGGTGCAATGAAGTAAATTCCTCTTCTTCCTGCTGCCCAGAGCGTGAACACTGCAGTTGTAGAGAGGCACGTCCCATACCTTGGTCCCTGATGTACTAGGGTGCTCCAGGGGACCCAGAGGCAGGCATCCTATTTTAACCTCCACTGTATGAACCCATTACTGAAAGACACTGATACATCTGTGACTAATGTGTTGGGCTTGTTCTCTCTTCAGTGTACTAACTTCCGCTGCCGTATTCCGTGGGGCTTTAAGCAATGGCACTTTACTGATTTGTTCACTTTTAAAACTGGATTTTGCCTCAGTTGAAGCCTTACAGCCCCTGCTGTGTGTCACTCAGCAAAGCAGACTGACTGCAACGAAGTAGATGGCTGTTTACCAGAAGTGGGTTGCTCACTTTCTGTAATTTACTTTTTTTTTATTTAATGCTTTGGCTTGCTTGGGTTTTTAATCAGAGTACAGGAGAGAAGGAGGCAAAGAGGGAGACAGAGAGGAAAGCAGTTCTTGGGCTATGTTGACAGACAACTGTTTCCTCAGTTGTCAGGTTTTAAGCCTGTCGGCAGCGCTGCTGGTAAATGGAAAAGAAATAATGCTAGGGCGGGGAGGGCGAGGCTGACCTGACGGAGACTAGAGCGGAGGGGCTGTGTGCTGTCACTATCACGGCGGCAGGCAGCCTGGTACGGCAGCGCCGCAGTCCCGGTTACTCCGGCAGCTGCCCGACTCCCCATAGCTGCCCCTACAGACAGCTCACTTGTCAGCAAGGGATTTTCTTCCCCTCCTCCCTTGATACGGATCCCTCAACTGGTATTATGGATTGTATCCTTGGCTTATTGCAATAAAAAAACAAAACAAAAAACAAGGGAAAAAAAATCCCTGTGATTTTTTTTGGGATTGCAATCTGGAGATGAGCCTTTGATTCTCTCGGTCAGCCCGAGAATGGTTGCATGTTGGCACAGCTGCCCCCCGCGTACACCTGAGCGCTCGCAGCTTGCCCCCGCAGCCCCACTTGCAGGGAGGGAGGGAAAGTATCTGCCAGAAACGTTAGCTGCTCCTGGGCAGTGCTGAAGGTGGAGCCTGTGCATGCGTAGTGGCAGCAGCCGCCCTCTCAGAGCTTTAACAAAAGAGGTAACCTGCAGCTATGGAATCACCGACTAAGGAAATCGAAGAATTTGAGAGCAACTCTCTGAAATATCTGCAGCCAGAGCAAATAGAGAAAATCTGGCTTCGTCTCCGAGGCTTGTAAGTAGTACTTTTTTTGTTGTCTCTTCCAATTTCCTCCAACTGTAAAAATTATTGTAGTACTTTATTTTTTCTTGCTTGCTTGTACGTTCAGAATCTCCCAGGAGTTTCCACACCTGTTCTCCATAAATACAGTGACTTAATCTTAGCAAAATGTCAATTTACTTCTTTAAATTGAACTGCTTCTTAAATTGAACAAACATTTTCAAGTGGGAATGTAGAAATGTCATTAATGTAGCATTTTAAGATATAGGCAGTTACTGAGATGGTAGTTACTTTGGGTGTTATACTAGAAAAGTTTTGTTGTAGCCTGAATGGTACTTAATTGAATTCTGGTTTTGATGCAACATAGAGAAGACTTTCCCCCCACCATAAATGTACACAATTTTTGACACTGACATGATTAATAAGAACAAAATAGGCAGAGAAGGCACAACTGGAATACAACTGGAATAGCATTTGTAATGGTAGGAAATTCATCTTCCACTGATTGGATTGTACATTTAGCCTGACTTGCCATGAAATAACCGGACATTGCCTCCTGAGTAAAAAAAAAGTACCTGTGCTTAGAGAACTTGGCACTGCAGAGCAGAAAAAGTTGTAGAGTCTGCTAGCTTATTTAGAAGCAATATCTGGTGTCTTTTTCAGATTCTCGGTATGTAAAATACTATCTACCAGCAATAAGATCCTTTACTGGCAGCAAACCATTTATTTGTCCATCAGTTTTTGGCCAAGGAAAAGAGGAGCATTACTGTGTTAAGCTACATACCTTTCTAAGTTCAGAACTGTTTGTGTTTGTTTACTTTTCTTCAGCCTTACATGCTTGAGTTATTAAAATTTTAGCCCTCAAGGGAAAGGCTGGGGAGAAGGAAACAAGGAGGCTTGGAAACAGCAGAAGCAACAAAATGAAGGAAGAGTAGGCTAATAACTGAAAACAAATAGGTCCAAGTTAAATCTGAGTTGCTCTTTGAGTGCTATTTTATGTGAGAAACGACAGAATATATTGCAAAGCATATCCAAAACTTGTGAGGGACTCCAAGCAATCTATGAGATATGCATGAATATGTATTTCTTTCAAGGCATCACTCCAGGAAGCCTATTGTGTGAAGGAACTTAATCAAAGCAGATAACAGCTGTTTTGTAAGCCTTCCAAATAGAAGAGCTACACAAAACAAGCCTTTAATTTTTTTAATCCGTGCCATGCTGTAGTATTAGGATTTCTTGAACTTCTGTCTAATATGGAGTTAAGGAGCATGCTGATTTGGATTCCACCTGGAGTTCTTAGGTAATTGTTCAGCAGCATTGTTGTTTGGGATCTCTCTTGCAGTTAGTACAAGCTCTGATCTCTTCTACCTTTTGAAAAGTTAGAAAAACTTGAGGACTTATTTTAGATGCGTAATAGCTAAATCTCAGGCTGTTTTTCAGTATAGCCCTCTTTGTCAGTGTGAGTGTAACAAACATGTCTCTTCTTCTTTGTGTCAAGATTTCTTTGCCTAAAGAGGAGAAAGATTTTTTTTCTGCAGAATTCTTGATCCCAAGATGGAAACTGAAATGTGTTCTGTAGATTTTGCATTCCCAGTTATTTTATGGAGGCTTTTAGTTCATGTATACACACACACACAACTGTTTGCAAACTGAGGTTTGGCATCATGTTTTGTGTTTTTTTCTTGTCTGTCTTTATGCATGCTTTTATGTGTAAGAAGAACGATCACGTGCACAACCCTCTTAATTAAATCTTAAATAAAATGCTTCAGCCTGGAGAGGTCAAATACTGCTTGAGAAGACACCTTTCTCCTCTGCCACTAGTACACTGACAGCCATATCACACAGAAATTAGTTACAAGGCACAGCAGTGCTACCAGAGCACTCTTACAGAGGTAGTGAGAGAGGGCATGATGCTGGCTGAAGATGCCTGAGGAGTTGTAGTCTGCAGCATACAGATATCCAGATACCCAGTAATTTCATTGTGATACCTCTCCTTAAATGGGAAGGGTTGTGATGATTTAAATAGTCTGAGGTGCTAGGCATGGTGTTAGACACCTCCTTGGTAGGACTTCATCTGTGACAACTCTGGTACCTTCTCACCCCCCATGCCCCAGCTGGTGTGTTACTCACAATGACTTCATGGACAAAACAATATCCATCACCTCTTTCAATATTTGGCTTTTCTAGAGGACCAGGAATGGGGCTCTTTTAATTTTCACTCCATCTCAGCCTGCTTGGTTTGAAGGGAATGGAAACCCAAAGGCTGCTGCAAAGGGGTGGTTAAGTTGAGGCTCTTTTCAGATGCCCCTAATGTAGTGTATTTTCTGTTTAAGCAAGTCTAGTGGGGGCTTTTTTTGCCACGAGCCTGGTACTGTTCTGTCACGGAATCACAGAATATGCTGAGTTTGGAAGGCACCCACAAGGATCATTGAGTCCAACTCAGGCCCTGCACAGGACCATCCCTAAGAGTCACACCATGTGCCTGAGAGTATGTTCCTCTTGAACTCTATCAGGTTTGGTGCTGTGACCGCTTACCTGGGGAGCCTGTTCTGTCCTGCAGGATGGCTGGCCTCTGGAGGTTTGGGCATGGAATGTATACTTTCAAGGTATAGGGAGGTATTGGACAGCAGGGAAGGACAGATTTTTTGTGAGGCTGAAGCAAGGTGTCTGTTGCAACATGAATCATATGTTGCTCTGAAAACCAGACAAGATACTGAATTTGTCTCTGGAGTGGAGAGTTTGCTTCTCCTTTTCTCTTTCTATCTTTCCAAGATGTGGTTTCTTAGTCAGGAAAGCCTGGTTGATTTGTAAGCACAGCAGTGTGAGGCAGTGGTTGTTACGCCATATAGAAGTTCCTTTTGCTTTAACTGTTTAAGAATGAGCTAAAATACTAATGTATTGAATGTACTGTACTGACTGTAATGTACTGAAATGTTTTTACTTGACATATATGTATTAATGGTGTAATGATTCTGTGCAGTAATTTATATGAGAAACAAGTCAGTGGACCTATAGTGTTTTCTCAGGTTTAAGGGGGTGTGGTAAGTTGCCTCATTGGGTAAGTCAGCTGTGGCAAAATCTTTGGGTGTCTCTAACCAGAGATTTATGAAATAAATGTTGCCTTTTACATATGACCTATTAGATATCAATTTAAGTTTAGTCACAGCTTACAAAAAGAATCTTTTAGTGATTTATTATTAGTAAGCTTTGAGGAAAGCTTTCTGAATAAGCCGTTGTTGGGCAAAGGTACTACTAGAGGATTTCCTTGCAGAAGAGGCCTCCTAGGAACAAACCTGCTTCAGAGTTTTAACAGCATCATAAATGAATCAAACTGCAACAGCTTCAGTCCCTTTAAGGATATCTAATAGGGCTTTTTCTTTTGGCTGCTAGAGACTTACATATGAGTCCACCTTCCAGTCTCCAGTGATTGCTAATAATTTTGCTAAAATTGAGACCTTCTGCTCTGCAAAACTTATCAGTTAAGATTAGGTGAGAGCCATGACAGTCCACTGTTGGCAGCAGAGCTTGGAGACACTATTTCAAAACACGTGGTTTCAAGATTGCTTGGTTGCTTTTCAAGCTGACGGTTTCTCTAGGGAGGTAAGGGCAGTGGTGGTTTTGTTGTGGTGTTCTTCTTTTAGCACTTGGAACCCTAGCTGTGGGACTTGAACTCCCATCTGCTAGCTACAACTCTTAAAACTTCACTAAGTGGCTTCAATTGCTTCCTGATTTCTCAAGAACAGAGAAAGCATTGAAGCCCTTTTCAACACTAGGATTAGATGTTGTGTCTGAGGACATTGAAGAATGCAGAGGTAATATATCCAAAGAGCTTTGTGAGTTTCAGTAGGGATGTGCTAGTTTACAGCAGCTTGGAGATATTTTTTGGTTTGATTTTGGTTCCTTTTATGCAGAAAAATAAAACCTTTGTTTCTAGCTATTACAGTAGTACTGGCATCACTGGCATCTGCTGGTGCCTCTGCAGTGCTTTAAGCATTGCACGAGGAGAGGAGGAAAATGGACTTTATCCTTCTTCCCAGTAGCTGGGCTTATAATGTTGAATTGCTAAATACATAATAAATCTCTTCATTCTCAGTGTAGTCGTTCCTCATGCTACTCTCATAGAATCACCAAGGTTGGAAGAGACCTTTAATATCATGAAGTCCGACTGTCAACCCAGCACTACTACTGTAACCCCTAAATCACTAAACCATATCACCTGGTGGCAGCTCCAAACACCTTTTAAACACCTTCAGGGATGGTAATTCCACCACATCCCTGGGCAACCTATTCCAATGCCTGACCACCCTAACTGAAAAAACGTTTTCTAATACCTAATCTGAATTTCCCATCTCAGCTTATGGCCATTTCCTCTAGTCCTCTCATTCCAGGCATGGTAGAAGAGACTAGTTCCCACCTCACTACCACCTGTTTTCAGGTAGTTGTAGAGAGCAGTGAGGTCCTCCTGAGCCTCCTCTTCTAAAGACTAGATAAACCCAGCTCCTTCAGCTGTTCCTCATAAGGCACATATTTTAGACCCTTCATGAGCCTTGTTGCCCTTCACTGGACATGCTCCATCACTTCAGTGTGAGAAGCCAAGAACTGAATGTAGAATCATGGAATCACAGAATATGCTGAGTTGGAAGGGACCACAAAGATCATCGAGCCCAACCCTTAGCCTTGCAGAGAACCATCCCCAAGAATGACACCATGTGCCTTGGGGTATCATCGAAATGCTTCTTGAACTCTGTCAGGCTTGGTGCTGTGACCACTTCCCTGGGGAGCTTGTTCCAGTGCCCAGCCACCCTCTGGGTGAAGAACCTTTTTCTAATATCCATCCTAAACCTCCCCTGATACAACTTCAGGTCCTTGGTCCTGTCACTGGTCACCACAGAGAAGAGATCAGTGTTTGCCCCTCCTTTTCCCCTCACTAGGAAGTTGCAGACTGTGATGAGGTCTTCTCTCAGTCTCCTCTTCTTCAGGTTGAACAGACCAAGTGACTTCAGGTGCAGCCTCAC